TTAATAAACTTGCTTTCACTAAAAAAAAAAAAAAAAAAAAAAAAAAATTAGGCATATTCACACAACGAAACCCTATGCAGCAGTAATAATTAACACCTGTAAACACATGAGAAAATATAAATTTCACAAACATGTTGACTGAAAAACACAAAAGAATATATGCTCTATAATTCCACTTACTACAACAATCAAAACAAATCTATGGTATTAAAAGTCAGGACAGGCCGGGTGCAGTGGCTCACACCTGCAATCCCAGCACTCTGGGAGGCCAGGCAGGTAGATTGCCTGAGGTCAGGAGTTTGAGACCAGCCTGGCCAACATGGTGAAATCCTGTCTCTAGTAAAAATACAAAAATTAGCCAGACATGGTGATGGGTGCCTGCAATCCCAGCTACTCAGGAGGCTGAGGCACGAGAATTGCTTGAACCTAGAAGGTGGAGGTTGCAGTGAGCCGAGATCGCACCACTGTACTCCAGCCTGGTGACAGAGTGAGACTCTGTCTCCAAAAAAAAAAAAAAAAAAAACCGTTGGGATAACAATTATCCTCGGCAAAGTAAGTATTGACTAGAATGGGGCAGGCTTCTGGGATGCATTAGTTTTAGTTTGTGAAAACTAATTGAGCTATAAAATTGTAATCTGTATACATTTGGGTTTTTGGTATGTATGTTATACTTTAATTAGAAAATCGTTTAAAAAGAATGGAGCTTTTCAGTCCCTGTAAATAGCACTAAAATAAATCCAAACTATATAAAATAAAATAAAACTCTAATGCTGCTCAAAGTATATTATTAGGTCGGTGCAAAAGTAATTGTGGTTGTTGCCACTGAAAGTAGTGGCAAAAACAAACAAAAAAAAAATGTAGGTGCCATTTGGCTTTTAAAAATGTGTAATTGTGACAGTGCTTCACATGGTGTGTAGGGAGAACTCTAACCATGCTTTTCCTCATTCTCACAGCATAACAATCATCAATGCAGAAGATTTCTGTGACCAAATGTTGGGGGTGGTTTCCCCACACACCAAGCAGTGGACACCAGCCGGGTGTCCTTTAATTCATTTCTGACACTGTCTACCCAGAGATGGTGTCAGATCCCACAGGTGGAGGGTTCAGTCCCCAAGACTGCCCACCCCCCAAACACCGGTCACAAGTCCAGGCCTCTGGAACTGACTGGCTTCAAGTTGGGGTTCCCGTGACCCCCTCTTTGAGTTTAATTAATTTGGTGGAGTGGCTCACAGAACTCATGGAAACACATTTACCAGTTTATTAGCAGCCAGGTGTGGTGGCCCTTGCCTGTAATCCCAGCTACTTGGGAGGCGGAGGTTGCAGTGAGCCAAGATTGTGCCACTGCACTCCAGCCTGGGCGACAGAGTGAGATTCAATCTCAAAAAAATAAATGAAAAATTAAAAATTAAAAAAATGCATGAAAAAAACAACAAAAAAGGAATTAGATGAAGAGACATGTGGGGTGAGGTATGGGGGAATGGACACAGAGCTTCCAAGCCCTCCGTGGGTGAGGGGGTGGGGGGCGCCACCCTCCAGGAACCTCCCCGCGTCCAGGTATCAGGAAGCTCCCTGAACCGTCCTCATGGGTTTTTATGGAAGCTTCAAGACCTCAGCATTCCTTCCCCCAGGATATAGGGAGAACCTCTCTGGGGAGGATCTTAAGACCCACAATCTGAAAGCCTGAAAAAGATCAGAGTCCTGCCTTGGGGCAGGTGAAAGGAGGGCAGGAGAAGGAGAGATTCTGTTTCCCGAGGCCTAACACACACCCAATATTACAACAAAAGAACCAACAGGGGCTATGGGAGTTATAAGCCTGGAACTGTGGATGAAAACCAATGTCTACCATAACACCGTATGTAGTATAGTAGACATCTGTTATTTTTGTCTGCCCTGTCTACATTCTCTCTTACCTGTTAAGAAGCCTCAAATTTCCTTGGGAAACCACTTGTATTAGTTTCCTATTGCTGCTGTAACAAATTAGTAACAACTTAGTGGTTTAGTTAAAACACAAATTTATTCTTACAGTTCTGTAGTTTAGCAGTCTGATACAAGTTTTGCTGGGCTAAAAATCAAGGTATGGGCAGGCCTGTTTTCCTTTCTGGAGGTTCTAGAAGAAAATCCGCTTCCTTGCCTCTTTGCTGCTAGAGGCCACCTAGACTCGTCAGTCTGTGATCTCTCCCTCCATCTTCAATGCCAGCAATGTTGCATGTGCCTGACCATTCCCCCACTCCTATCTCTAACACGCCTCTCTCTCCCTCTTCCATTTTTAATGGCACCTGTGATTACATTGGGCCCTCCCAAAATTTCAAGGTACTCTCCCCATTTTTTGCTTTGTCCTTTTTTTCTTCTAAAATCTCCCTATTTTAATGTCAGCTGATTAGCACTCTTAATTCCCCTTTGCCACATGACATGCCAAATTCACAGGTTCTGAAGGCCTGCCTGAAAGTGATACCAACAGAAGCAGAAAAGGATGGACAGACCAAATCTCATGACTTTGTTACAGCTCTTCGATTTGACTGTAGTGAAACCAGAAATGTCTCTGGGCTTTTCATTTACATGAACCTTCTCCTCTTAAGTCAGTTTGAGTTGGGGTTCCCAAACTTGCAATTGAGAGTCTTGATTGTTATATATGACAGCATGTGTTATGTTTGATGTTGAATAAATTTATTTTTGTTTTATTTTAATGGCAATAAGTACATACTAAAGTAATGATGAGTATGAGAAAATCAAGAGACACATCAAACTTCAACTTCCAGTAATGGCAGAAAAGGTCATTTGGACCACTCTCCTATCAAAGAAAACTGAGAAAGTTGGAGATCACGCCACTGCACTCCACCCTGGGTGACAGAGTGAGTCTCTGACTCAAAAAAAAAAAAAAAAGAAATCCATACTGAAGACACATCAAAATGATATTGCAGAGTCAGCCGGGCATGATACAATGGTCACAGTAGGGGATCCTGACTTTGTTCAGTGGCAGTGGTACAGTTCAATGCAATGATGGCAGGGCTGTGCTTCCAGCAGAGCAGCAGTGGGGGTGGGCACTGGGAGCTTCCTGATCTATGGGCAGCATCCTCTTCTCTTTGGCTCATCCAGCCTTCCTGACATTACTATAGCCAACCCCTTCTACCAAATCCCTTTTTGCTTGAAATATCTGGAGTTATTTCTGTTTTTTTTTTTTTTTAAGTGAATGCTGACTGATTGGAATACTACAAAAAAGTTACATTCCCAAAATAAGGAGTTAATTGGATATTAAAAACGTGAAATCAGAAATAAAAAATTCAATTGAAAGGTTATAAAAGAATGTTGATGAAATCACCCTGAAAGTAAGGAAAAACAAAATAAAAAAATAAAACAAGGGCATGGCAGCAAGCATCTATAGTTCAAAATACTTGGGAGGCTGAGGTGGGAGGATTGCTTGAGCCCAGGAGTTTGAGGCTGCAACGAGCTATGATTGCTTCACTGCATTCCAGCCTGGGTGACAGAGCGAGACCCCCCTTTCTCTCAGAAATAAATATGGCCAGGAGTGGTGGCTCACACCTGTAATCCCAGCACTCTGGGAGACCGAGTCAGGCAGATTGCTTGAGCTCAGGAGTTCAAAACCGGCTTAGGCAACGTGGCAAAGCCATGCCCCTACAAAAAATAAAATTAAATTAAAAATTAAAAAAAGAAATTAAAAAATACATAAAACAAAAACCTGGCCAGGCATGTGAGATTACATACTCACGCCTGTAATCCCAGCACTTTGGGAGGCTGAGGTGGGTGTATTACGAGGTCAGGAGTTCGAGACCAGCCTGGCCAACATGGTGAAACCCAATCTCTACTAAAAATACAAAAATTAGCTGGGTGTGGTGGCGTGGGCCTATAATCCCAGGCACTCGGGAGGCTGAGGCAGGAGAATTGCTTGAACCCAGGAGGTGGAGGTTGAATGAGCCAAGATCATGCCACTGCACTCTAGCCTGGGTGACAGAGCAAGACTCCATCTGGGAAAAACAGAAAACAAAAAACCCAACAACATCATAAGTGCTCAAAATTTATAGTAAATTGTAACAATATTATGTAACAATATCATGATGTAAACCACTTATTCTCATGTTATCATATAAATACCATGTGGTGCTGAGAGCCCGGTTCCTGCCTGGCATTTGAACGTGATGTACATGTATTGCAGCAATATACTGGTTAGTACAATTTCAAGAGAGCTGAGAAGTGTCAATTTAACGAAAACTAGAGGAAGATTATACTCTTCTAACTAACGACATTGACAAGAACATTAAATATATTTGTGACTAGATAAGCTTTATTCCAATGCCTACATAAAAATAAGCTGATGTCAAACAGGAAGAGGTTTTTCCAAAGGCTTAAAATTTATTAAACAGGCTGAGTGTGGTGGCTCACGCCTGTAATCCCAGCACTTTGGGAGGCTGAGGCGGGTGGATCACTTGAGGTCAGGAGTTCAAGACCAGCCTGGCCAACATGGTGAAACTCTGTCTCTACAAAAATACAAAAATTAGCCAGGCATGATGGTGGATGCCTGTAATACCAGTTACTAGGGAGGCTGAGACAGGAGAATCATTTGAACCCAAGAGGCGGAGGTTACAGTGAGCTGAGATCGTGCTATTGCACTCCAGCCTGGGCGACAGAAAGAGACTCCGTCTCAGGAAAAAAAAAAAAGTATTAAACAATAGAACTTTGTGCATCTCTTTAATCTGTCTCTGACCTCAGTTGACTGACACATCATTGTTAGTAGTCTGCCCTCACTAATCATTTTCACCACATACAGATCTCATATCTTTGGGCGACACTTCCCATGTCTCTGGAAATCTTCTAAGTTGCTTTCAGTTACAACAGAAGGGCAAGGTTTTCATCTGGTCATACTCTACTCCATCAGAAGTAAAACCACCTCCCTTAATTATCTTGTTTAAATTGTGGTTGTTTGCAAAGAACTTATTGTTAACGTACAGAAAGTATAGTATAACCTCTATGCTATAACAGTAAGTCCATTTTCATTAAATAATTATTTTGATTTTTATTATCTCTCTACAAAGACACTATGAAAATACCTGTAAAAGCATCAAAACGGTACTTTAAAATCCTGAACTGATAAGATACATCTTCTATGATTTACAAGAGTAAAATGTTAAATTCTACAAGTTAGAATTTCTGAATTGATTTTGACAGGAATTTACTAGAAGGAACCAGAACATCAAAGCTTACAGATTTTCTATTCATCCCCAATTAAGTTTCTGAAAAGCTACACATGTGTTGACAAGCACAGTCCACTCAGTTACTTGATGCTGCCACTAATGGTGAGACTACTCTGAAGGGCAGAGGTCTATATGCTGGAAATACCCAGCCTTCCAGGCAACTGCTCAAAGTGTTCTCCTCTTATTTTTTCCCTTATGTGTCAAATAGAAGTACAAATGTACACATAGTAAAAAATGTAAATACTACAGAAAGATCTAAAATAATAAGTACTTATCCTTTTTCCCATACCACAGCAAATCTGATGTTTTCAAAATCCTCAAATAGTCACATGAGTAACTCACAAACTAAAGTCAACCTTGGAGTCTCTTTATCTGAAAATTATTTTCAGGCCTTTGGAATGGTGTTGATTGTCTCATATATTACCTCTGTTACAGAGGAAAGTCACGCAGTCTTCTTCTCAAAAAAAAAAAAAAAAAAGTTTAAAGCAACATGCACATACTGTTCAGAGACAGCAAAGTCCAGACAGCATCGCAGAGTCCATTGGATCTAATCATGGCTCCAGAGAGTCCCTGGTATCATCCCTGAAATTAAGGAAGCACACTTACTAACAAGCCATTTTCAAAAGTAAGAAAACTTCCTCTTAATCAAAAAAGAGAAAGTTTTCTCTTAATCAAAATGAGGTCATCTGATTCTTATAATCTCAACACTTTGGGAGGCCAAGGCAGGAGTTGCAGCGAGCCACGATGGCACCACTGGTGACAGAGTGAGACCCTGTTTCATAAAAATAAAACAACAACAACAACAATCAAAAGAAATTGGGGTCATCTGGTCATAATAGAAGGATATCTTTTATCTAACATTGTACAAAAGGGCACAAGCCACATAGTCCCAGGCAGTCAAAACTAGATCAAACCTTTACTAGAGAACAAAGGGAAGGTGAGGTGGCAAGGGACTAAGGATGGAGAAAGGAAATTCCTTGAGAAATTCCAGCCCCAGTCATGAGAAAGCGGGTGCGCTTACCCCCTGGCTGAGCAGGAAAGACTGACAGAAACACTGGGCGCAGGAGCTCAGCCGAGTCCCTCCTCAATGCCCCGGATCCTCCGGGCCAGTTGCACATCCTTTGGGAAGAGAGTAACTCGGCCGGCATGTAAGGTGAGGAGATAGGCATCTTCAAAGAGATGAACTAGAAATGCTTCTGCTGCCTGGAGACAGAAAGAGAAAAAAAGATAGACATAGATGAAGGGGCATAGGCTGCTTTTTCTTGCAGACCCGCTAAACTTAATCTCTGAGGGCACAAAGGACTGTAGGAAACTGTTCACAGGATGAGACCGAACTTTGCCAGGGAATTCTGCTATCACCACACAGAATCCAGCCTCCAAACCCTCAGGGGTTACCTTGTTCTTTTCCAGGTCAGATTCAGCATGTGACACTCCAGTCAGCCTTGGATAATTCTAGGCTGCCTCTTTCTCCCACTCAGCCCTCACCCAATTGTGCCTTGGTGCCTTCTTACCTCTTGTAGGGCCAATAGGGCCTGGGCTTGCCAATTGAAGTCCACACCACGAGTGAATTTAACACATATTTCTCTTGCCTGTGAAGGAGTGGGGATGGGGAGGAGTAGGAGTAGGGAGTAACAGAAGAGAGATTCAAGGGACAATGATGCTCTCCATGAGTTCCAGTGAATCCCCCTTTCCATTATGTTTTCCTGGCCCTTAATCTTAGGACCCAATTAGGAGCAGGTGTTGACTCCTGGGAGCTTAGGAACTGGCGGATCTCTTACTGGTGATGGGGAAATCACCAGTAACTGGGTGATGGGAAGCAATCTCCCAGGATAGGAAAAGGGATCCAAGGGTGGACAAATGAGAGAGTTCCTATTTATATAGTCAAAAACTACAGTTTTAAAAAGGTAGTAGGGGTTAGAAATCAATTCCATAAAGAAGTACAAGGTGCTCTTGGAGGGCTCATGTTTTCAGAAAAGATTCCCCTACCAGGTTACAGAAGAGATCCCTTGGTCATTTAGGTAAGAGACAGTAGGGTCCCTAATATCTGGGAAAATTTTAAAAAGGAAGGTGGTATAGGGGTTGGTGGGAAGCTCCCAGAGCTCACCAGGCGGCTGAAGGGGTACTTCCTTATCAAGAGGTGTGTGCTCTTCTGAAGCTTTCGGATCTCCTTTAGCCAAGCTTGTCTCCGCCGACCATGTTGACGGGAGGAAGGGCCTGAGCAAAAGAAAGGTAAGTTCAGTGGAAAATAGGTGATGCCTCGCAGCTTGGCTGAGTCAGGTAAGCTGTCAAATCACTAAACTATATCTATGTGCCTACACTCCACAGAGCAGGGATTTTTGTCTTTTTATTAGGTTGGTGCAAAAGTCATTGCAGTTATGGCAAAAACCACAATTACTTTTGCATCAACCTGATATATAGTTATTTTGCTGCTATCTTCAGCAACTAGAAAACGGCAAATAGGTGCTAAATAAATATTTTGTTAAATGAATGAGTGAATGATCCTCTGCATTTGATTTTAAATGCTAATTCTTCCATGAAGCCTTTCCCGAATCCTGATCCCTTCCAAACAGATGGGTGACCGTCCTCCTCTGGGCTTTGCAGGACTTTGTACAAGTCTTAGATCTTTCTCACCTAGATTGGAAGCTCAATTATTTTGTTTTTAGATTTCTTATTTGTTTTTTACAGCTGGAAAGAATCTGAGGGACTAGTACAATTCTCTTGTCTTGATTATCCTGAGGCCCAGCGAGGTGAAGACAGTTGGTCAGCCCTCATCAGTGGCCAAGCTGAGACCTATGTAAGGAATGGCCTAACTCAGTGCCAGTGTCAGGCACCTGGGCTGTGGAGTCAGAGTCTTTGGCTCAAATCCTGGTTCCAACAAGAACAAAAAAGAAAATAACCTTAAAAATATTCCCAAAAATAGAAATCAAAAAAGTCAAATTCTCTAATTGGAAATTAAAAACCCATGAATATAAAAACCAGTTTCTTCTAACTAACCCTGTGTTGAAGAGGAAACTTAATTGAAATTAGACTATTTAGAAATGAATAACAATAAAAAGCCCATACCCCAAAACCTATGAGATACAGCCAAAATAGTACTAGAGGAAAATGCATAGCCTTAAAGTGTACCTATTAGAAAACAAGAACATTAAAAGATATCTGAGCTAAGCATTCAAATTAAGTATTAGAGAGTTATTAAAGTAAACCACAACAAGATAGAACAAAAGAAATATTAGATAATAAGTTAGTGAAAATGGAAGTTAAAGAAAAAACAGCACAGTTGCTCCATAATTACAACCAAGGACCAAGATGAGTGAACCTCCGATAAGTTGAACAAACAAACAAAATACAAAAATAACATTTTGAAGGATAAAATTGTTTCAGAAATGTTATTCAAGATCCAGCCAAGGAAAGAGACTCTACACCAAGTTCAACAGAAGGCATTTAATACAATAAACTAATCACAAAGTGTTAGAAGAGCTGCAAGAGCAAGTGGGGAAGGTGAGACAATCCAGAGACGGCCTGTGCCAGGCAGCCGGCAGAGAAGATCATCCCTGGGTGAGGCTGGGGAACATAAGCCAATGAAACAGGGCAGTGTCCAGGAGACTGGTGACATTTAAAAGAGGGAGGACCCATACCCAGGAGACAAGCTACTGACACCTCCCTCCCTCCCCACCACCAGTTGGCAATCCAGTCACTGGAGGCAGTCTTTAATAAACAGACATAGGGCTGGGTGCGGTGGCTCATGCCTGTAATCCAGCACTTTGGAAGGCTGAGGTGGGTGAATCACCTGAGGTCAGGAGTTCGAGACCAGCCTGACTAACATGGAGAAACCCATCTCTACTAAAAATACAAAAATTAGCTGGGCGGGGTGGCGGGCACCTGTAATCCCAGCTACTTGGAAGGCTGAGGCAGGAGATTCGCTTGAACCCAGGAGGTGGAGGCTGCAGTGGGCTGAGCTTGCATCGTTGTACTCCAGCCTGGGCGACAAGAGCAAGACTCCGTCACAAACAAAAATAAATAAAATAAAAAAATAAACAAGACATAGCATTCACAGAAAATGTGAAGATGAACACAACTAAAGATCACCCAACAATTTAAGAAGGCCAATACCATGAAAGAAAGGAACCAAACTCAACAAACAAAATAACCAATACCAGACGAAATTGAGTTAATAGAGAAAAGAGATAGAAACCTCGAGAGAAAAATGGATAATAATCTCAGAGAGGTAACAGAGATATGAAATCCATGAACCAAGGACAAGTGGTTCTGAAAAGTAACCAATTAGAGAGATCATGGAAAAGAACTGGGATCAAAAATTTAGTAGTTGGGTCTTGAAATGCCAACATGAAGAGATGGAATTTAATCCTAACATAAGAAGCAGCCAGGGAAGAGTTTTAAGCAGAATAGAGATGTTGAAGGTCACTCCAGCTGCTGTGTAAGGAAAGAAGTGGAAAGGGACAGAGTGGAAGTGGATTAGCAGCTGATTAGGGGGCTCTCACAGTTGCTCTTGAGAGATGCTGGTGGCTTGGACTAGGGTAGTGGGAGCAGAGATGGTGAAAATGGAGTGATTAAGGAGCAGTTTGGAAGTAGAATTATCTGGACTTGCATTTGTATTGGAGATGGTGGTCTCCCAGGCTTGTGGTTTGAACAACTGGGTGGGTAGTTGTGCCATTTACTGAAATGGGCAAACTGAGGATGAAGGGGCTGGAGGGGAGTAACCAGAAGTTCAGTTCTGGGTGTGTTAAGTTTAACATAACCACGAGCCTTCAGATAGAAAGGCAGTTAGATATAGGTATCTGGGGTTAGAGGAGAGATCCAGGTATACATAAATTTGAGAGCTGTCAATGTAAATCTCGGTGGGATTTAGAGCCACTGAGGAGATGAGACCATCTAGGGAGGGGGTAGAAAGGAAAAGAATGTCAAGGAAGTCCAACATCAAGGAGCGGAGGGAGGCAGCACAAGCAGTAAAGAACACTAAGCAGAACTGCCAGAGTGCACAGTGGCATGGAAGCCAAGGGAACAGAACGCTTCAAGGAGAAAGAGGCCCACTGCGTCAAATGCTTCTGAGACACAGTAAGAACACAGACCCGCCTACTGGATTTGGCACTACAAAAGGTGCTGGTGACCCTGACAGGAGTAGTTCAAGCAAATTAGAAGTGGGATACTGGTTGTGGGGAGTCAGATTGGAGTGGGTTGTAGGGTCACTAGGAAGTGAGGAATCAGACGCAATGTATGTGGACCTAACAAGTCTGGCTATTTTAAAAGGAGAGCTATGAAGGGAAATAGAGAGAAATGGGAGGTATAGGGAAGTGAGAATGTGGGGTCAAGGAAACACCCCTGCCCTTTCTCTTAAGATCATAAATATGGTTGGGAGCGGTGGCTCACACCTGTAATCCCAGCACTCTGGGAGGCCAAGGCAGGCGGATCACTTGAGGTTGGCAGTTGGAGACCAGCCTGACCAACATGGTGAAACCCCATCTCTACTAAAAATACAAAATTAGCCAGATGTGGTGGCGCATGCCTGTAATTCTAGCTACTCGGAAGGCTGAGGCAGGAGAATCACTTGAACCCAAGATGTGGAGGTTGCGGTAAGCCGAGATCACCGTTGCTCTCTAGACTAGGCAACAAGAGGGAAACTCTGCCTCAAAAAAAAAAAAAAAGATCATAAATGCTAGAGCACATGTGCCAATGCCAGTGTTAAGTGTCTGGATTTATCTAAGCACAGGTAGAAAGCTCCTTTGTAGGTGAAAGAAGGATATGACCAAGACCCCATGTAGAAGGAGGAAGAGCTTTGATAGGAAGGGGGACACCTAGTCAAGGCCATCATTGGCTAAGAGTAGGGGGAATGGAGCTGTAGGAAGTCGAGGAAGGAGAAAAAGGTATGAAATAGTCATGGGGAGAATGGAAAAGCAAGAATTCCAGACAAAGGGCAGGCACGATGGCTTTTCTTTGTAGAGACAAAACAATTTGTCTCTACAAAAAAGCTTTAAAAATAGTCAAGCATGGTGGTGCACGTGTCATCCTAGCTATTCGGGAGGCTGAAGCAAGAGGATTGCATGAGCCCAGGAGGTCAAGGCCGCAATGAGCCAAGATAGCACCACTGCACTACAGCCTGGACGACAGAGTGAGACTCCGTCTCTAAAACTGAAGAAAGAATACCAGACAAAGGTGGTAGGACTGCCAAGAAGTGTTGACTGCCCATTTGAGATAAACCTTCCATTTGATCAGGAGTAGAAGGATGCTTCTACCTTGGAAAGCAACAGCAAACATACTTCATATTCCTGTTAAAATTACAAATAAGACAAAGATGGCCAAAACACCACTCTTAGTGAGTCTCAGGGCCTTACTAATACCATACAATAAGAAATAAAATGTTTAGAGACGAAAATGGAAGATTCTAAAGTTATATGCAGATGACATAATAGTCTACTTAAAAATTTCAATTGAAGCAACTAAAAGAGACTAGGATGAACGAGAAGTCAGCAAGTTGGCTGGATGCAAAGGTTAAATGCTTGTGTTTTGGGAAAGAAAAAAAATCCTATCCGCAACAGCAACATCTAGAAACAACCTACTCCAGCCGCAACATGGCAAAACCCCATCTCTACTAAAAATACAAAAAATTAGCCGGCATGGTGGCATACGCCTGTAGTTCCAGCTACTCGGGAAGCTGAGGTGGGAGAATCACCTGAGCCTGGGAAGTTGAGGCTGCAGTGAGCCCTGATGGCATCACTGCACTCCAGCCTGGGCGATGGGTCTCAAAAAAACACAAAAAACCAAAAAGCCTATAGGCACAGTGGCTCATGCCTGTAATCCCAGCACTTTGGGAGGCCCAGGCAGGAGGATCACTTGAGGATCACCAGGAGTTTGAGACCAGCCTGGGTAACATAGGGAGACCAAGTCTCTACAAAAAACAATGAAACAGACAAACTCTACAATACACTTCCCATCTTCTTCCTAGCTATGTAGCAAGAGTTAAGAGATAAGTAAAGCAGCTGTTGCCACCGTGTACCACACAGGCATCTGCCTCCTCCTGCCCTTGGGTCTCCCATCCACCAGCCTACCACACAGACAATGAAGACACAGACTTTGGCCCCTCTTTCCCCGGACACAAGCTCTGGAACGCAACAGCGTGAGCAGCGCAGAAGTCCTCGGTTCGAGGCCTCAGAAGTCCTCGGTTCGAGGCCTAACAGCCTGTCCCGGAAGGGAAAAAAAACCCTGAAAGACACCTCCTAAGAGGACTCCTGTTTGAAATCGTCACCGAAAGCAGTCAATACTTGTGCAATCTAAAAATGCACAAACACAGAGGATTGGAAATCCCGTGTCCGCCAGAACAAGTTGTGTGACTCTGCTCAAGCTCCCTGGCTTGTGCCTTGGCTTTCTCATTAGCTGTAAAATGGGCACGATATGAAGCTGAGATAACGCACGAACAGTGGGACGCAATGCCTGGTTGGCGGTGGGCGCTGGGTAACCGCTAGTCCTAACAAGAAGACGGCGTTAGGAGCCAAGCGGCTGCGCCGGTCCCTTCCCGCTTTCGGAACCGCTTGCTCCAGTCCCTCGCAGGGCTGCCACCGCCCGTGCCCGGAGCGGATGCCAGACGGTGGAACCGCGTTGTCCCCCAGCAGGGAAGGCCACGGGATCGGGATTCGGGAGATCCGGGCTCCGCCTGCGAGCCTCGGTTTTCTCCTCTACGAGATGCGGCCGCGGCCAGTTACCTAAGGAGGGGCCCCGCCGGGAGGGGCCGGGGGTCGGGCTCGGGCTGCGCCTCCTCGGGGCCTCGGGCTTGCGGCTCCGGCGGCGCGGGCCCATGGCACGCCGCGGAGGGTGCCGGCGCCCGGCCCCACGGCTCCTGCTCGGGCGGCCGGGTCCGGGGGCGAAAGGCTGGCTTCTGGGGAGCCCAGAGAGCGCTGGGCCGCGAGCCTCACAGGAGCCGGTGCTTGGCCGCAGTCCGCGCCGCTCGCGTTCAAATCGATCGCTCCGCCCACTTCACCGCCGGCGTTTTTTAAAACCCGAATCCAGCGACTTCCAGTGGCTGACTCTGGAACGCCCCTTACGTAGAGCGACTGCAGGTAGGGCCAATGAGAGTATGAACAAATAGCGGCGATGATAGGAGGATAGGGGCGACTGATGGTAAAATCAACCAATAGACACCTAAAGAAGTAAGAGGGGGCGGGAAATTCTCCTGCCCCTGCTTGCCAATCTGGGTGCTGGTGTTTGCGGGACCGTACTGACGTCCTCAGATGCCCTCCAGTCAAAACACCGAAGCTCAGTTCGGAACGTAGATGGTGTGTTTGTAGCACGTGCTTTTCTAGACAAGTCACTTTCCTTAAACGTTTTATGCTTTGCCCTAGCAACGCAGAGACGGCTTTTAAAGACGAGGAAACAGACCCACAGAGAATGTGACAACCCCATGTCGTGTCTGCGACCCTCCCAGGAATTATCCACAAATACACTCAGAAGCCAGTTCAACTGCGTGAACTTCAACTGCTGATCCTTGGGGTCGCGGGGACGGCGGGATCGGCGGAGCTTGGGTTCCGGCAGGGCAGGCCTCGGCACTGTAGCAACGCAATCGTCCCAGAAAAACGCTGTCTTCCCTTTGTTGGGGATAATAAAAATTCAAGTCCTGTCCCAGTATGTAGAGTAAGGGGAATTTTAATTTTCTAAATTTTATTTCTTGCATTTTCTAAATGTAGTACAGTGAACATGTAATCAGGAAAAAAGTTAGTTATAAAATTAGTGATTTCATGGAACCCTTGTGCATTGCTGGTGGGAGTGTAAAATGCTGCGGCTGCTGTGAAAAATAGTATTGGTGGTTCCTCAAAAAATCAAAAATAGAATTACCAGATGATCCAGTAATTCCACTTCTGGCTAAATATCCAAAAGAATTTAAATATAGCCAGGGACTTGAACAGATATTCTCACACCCGTGTTGATAGCGGCATTCTTCACAACAGCCCGAAGGCAGAAACAGCCTGAATGCCCATCAACAGATGTATGGATAAACAAAATGGGGCGTATACCACAATGGGAATTCTGACACCTGCTGCAACATAGATGAACCTTGAGGACGTTATGCTAAGTGAAATAAGGCAGTCCACCAAGGGACAAATGCTGGGCCGGGGTGCGGTGGCTCACACCTGTAATCCCAGCACTTTGGGAGGCCGAGCTGTTTGGATCCCTTGAGTTTGAATCCAACCTGGCCAACATGGCGAAACCCCATCTTGCCGAGTGTGGTGGCTCACGCCTGTAATCCCAGCACTTTGGGAGGCCGAGGCCAGCGGATCACCCGAGGTCAGGAGTTCAAGACCAGCCTGGCCAACATGGCGATACCCCGTCTCTATTAAAAATACAAAAATAGCCAGGTGTTGTGGCGCACACCTGTAATCCCAGCTACTCGGGAGGCTGAGGCAGAACTGCTTGAACCCGAAAGGCGGAGGTTGCAACAAGCTGAGATTGTGCTACTGCACTCCAGCCTAGGTGACAAGAGCGAGACTCTGTCTCCAAAAAAAAAAAAAAAAAAAAAGAGAAAAAGAAGAAAGAAGAAACCCCACCTCTAACAAAGATACAAAAAAAAAAAAATTAGCCTGGGCATGGAGGTGCACACCTGTTGCCCCAGCTATTCAGGAGGCTGAGGTGGGAGGATCGCTCAAGTCCAGGAAGTTGAGGCTGAACTGAGCCATGATTGTGCCACTGCACTCCAGCCTGGGCCACAGAGTGAGACCTGTCTCAAAAAAAAAAAAGGACAAGGCTGGGAGTGGTGGCTCATGCCTGTATAATCCCAGCACTTTGGGAGGCTGAGGCCAGTGGATCATGAGATCAGGAGATTGAGACCATCCTGGCTAACATGGTGAAAACCCACCTCTACTAAAAATACAAAAAATTAGCAGGGGGTGGTGGCACGCATCTGTAGTCCCAGCTACTCGGGAGGCTGAGGCAGGAGAATTGCTTGAACCTGGGAGCAGGAGGTTGCAGTGAGCTGAGATTGTGCCACTGCACTCCAGCCTGGGCAACAGAGCAAGACTGTCTCAAAAAAAAAAAAAAAAAAAAAGAAAAAAAAAAAAAGGGACAAATACTGTATGAGGTACCTGCAATAATTGAACTCAGAGACAGAAAGTAAAATGGTGGTTGCCAGTGAGTGGGGGAGGAATGGGGAGTTAGTATTTAATAGGTGGAGAGTTTTAGTTTGAGAAGATGAAAAATTCTGGATATGGATGGTGGTGATGGTTGCACAACACTATGAATGTGCTTAATGCCACTAACTGTACACTTAAAACTGGTTAAAATGGTAAATTCTGTTTTGTGCGTGTGTGTATATACATACATACACACACACACACACACGTTTCCCCCCACCCCCCCAACAGGGTCTTGCATTATTGCCTAGGCTGGGGTATAGTGGTGCAGTCAGAGCTAACTGCAGCCTTGAACTGCTGGACTCATGCAGTCCTCCCACTTCAGCCTCCTGAGTAGCTGGGACTAATAGGAATGCACCATCACGCTTGGCTAATTTTTTTAAAAACATTTTGTAGGCTGGGTGCAGTGGCTCAGGTCTGTTATCCCAGCACTTTGGAAGGCTGAGGTAGGTGGATCACTTGTGGTCAGGAGTTGAGGTCAGAGACCAGTCTGGCCAACATGGTGAGATCCTATCTCTACTAAAAATACAAAAATTAGCCGGGCGTGGTGGTGTGTGCCTGTAGACACAGCTACTCAGGAGGCTGTAGCAGGAGAATCGCTTGAACCCAGGAGGAGGAGGTTGCAGGGAGCCAAGATCATGTCATTGCATCCCAGCCTGGGCAACAGAGAGAGACTCTGTCTCTAAAAAATAAAAAAAATAAGTTTCCCAAGTGCCCTGGTAACTCTGGCTTATCATATAGCCCTTATTATACAGTCATGTATCTATAATAAAGGCATTATATAGTTCCCATGCTTAACAATGGGGATATGCTCTGAGAAATGTGTTGTTAGACGACTTTGTCATTGTGCAGTCATAAAGTATACTTACATAAACCTAGATGGTATAGTGTACTCACACCTTGGCTATATGGTATAGCCTATTGCTCCTAGGCTACAAACCTGTGCAGCATGTTCCTGTACTGAATACTGTAGGCAACTGTAACGCAATGGTATTTGTGTATCTAAACATCTAACCTAGAAAAGGTACAGTAAAAAACAGTATAAAAAATGGGCTGGGCGCACTGGCTCACCCCTGTAATCCTAACACTTTGGAAGGCCAAGGCAGGAGCATTGTTTCAGCCTGGTAGTTAGAGATCAGTGTGGGCAACATGGTGAGACCCCATCTCCACAGGAAAAAAAAAAATTAGCTGGGCATGGTGGTGCATGCCTGTAGTGCCAGCTACTTGGGAGGCTGAGGCAGGAGGATCGCTTGAGCCCAGGAGTTTAAGGCTACAGTGAGATAGGATCATACCACTGCACTCCAGTGAGAGCAACAGAGCAAGACTCTGTCTCTAAAAAGAAAAATTTTCCTTCTTCAATAATAAATTACCCTTAGCTTAATGTAACATTTTAACTTTATAAGCTTTTTAACTTTAAACTTTGACTCTTTTGTAATAACACTTAGCTTAAAACACACACTGTGCAAGCATACAAAAACATTTTTTCTTTATATCTTTACACTTTTTTTTTTTTTTTTTGAGACTGAGTCTCACTCTGTTGCCCAGGCTGGAGTGCAGTGGCACGATCTTGGTTCACTGCAAACTCCGCCTCCCGGGTTCAAGCGATTTTCCTGCCTCAGCCTCCCGAGTAGCTGAGATTACAGGCTTGTGCCACCATACCTGGCTAATTTTTGTACGTTTAGTAGAGACGGGGTTTCACCATGCTGGCCAGGGTTCTGACCTCAGGTGACCCACCCACCTCGGCCTCCCAAAGTGCTGGGATTACAGGCATAAGCTACCATGCCTGGCCTCTGGCTGCAGTATCTGTGGCAGAACGGGGCAGGCAAGGACTGAGAACCAGGACATCTGGCTTTTGCCTGTAACTGGCTGTGTGACCCTTAGGAAGTTCTGCTTTTTGGGTTTCTTCATTTGAACAATGAATGGAAGACTAGGCAACATTGGAGAGATTTTCCATACCAACACTCTAGAGGCTAGCTCCAGACACCCTCTTGTGCCCCTTCTCTTTCATGAAAAAAGTCCAATACTGCTGATATGGTTTGGATGTGTGTCCCCACCCAAATCTCATATTGAAATGTAATCCCCAATCTTGGAGGTGGGGCCTAGTGGGAGGTGACTGGATCATGGGGGTGAATTTCTCATGAATGGTTTAACAGCATCCTCTTGGTACTGTCCTCTTGAAAGTGTTTGTATGAGATCTGGTTGTTTAAAGTGTGTGGCACCTCCTCCCGCGCGCCCTTGCTCCTACTCCGGCCACGTAAGACGTGTCTGCTTCCCCTTTGCCTTCCCCTATAACTGTAAGTTTCCTAAGGCCTCCCCAGAAGCAGATGCTGCTATGCTTCCTGGATAGCCCGCAGAACTGTGAGCCAATCAAACCTCTTTTCTTTATAAATTAAATTACCCAGTCTCAGGTATTTCTTTATAGCAATGCGAGAATGGATTAATACAATTGCCAATTTTCCTTTTAAAAAAAAAAAAAAAATAAAACCAAAATAATGCTCTTAAGATCCCAGGTTTTAGACAAGGCAGCTGTAGTCTCTCCATCATCCTCACTGTCCATTTCCTTCTTCCAGGGACATACACTGTGGCCCAGGGAAGCTCAGGGGACCCTGGGATTCAAAGCTGGTGGAATGGACCCTCCCTTCCCCGACAAGCTGTAATAACCTGCTGGAATCCCACACAACCCGAGGGCTTCACTTGTCAACAGCTCCCGTCCCTCCGAGGCTATTTTAAGGAAGCATTTGGTATTTTATGACTGAGCTGCCCAGGAAAATGGTTTGAGTCTGCAATCAACTGTTCCAAGGAGCAGCACTGGAACAAAGGCTGCTCAGTTCCCTGTGGTTCCTGATGCCACCCCTTCTCTTCAGGGTGGTTACCTAGAGGACAACAGTACATGAGGCTTCCAGCCCAGCTCTAGGAGATCCAACCCAAAGACCCCACAGAGACCCGCATGGGAGGTGGGGCCACAGGTCTGGTATCAGGCAAACCTAGGTTGGAATACTGGCTCCATGAAGAGGAAGTCACTTAACCTTCTCTGGGGCATGGTTTCTTCACCTGTTCCCACCTCTGAAGGCTGTTGTAAGACAGAATGAAAGTTAAGCAACTTAACGCAATGCCCAGGATACCAGAATTACTCTAAATGGTGGAATCCTGGGGATTCTGTCATCTTGAGGGTTCTCTAGGCAGGCAGGTTGCCAGGGGTGGGGCTGAAATCCAGATGTGCTCTAGGTCCCAGTCTGCTGCAGAATCATGTGGCTGCTGGACCTGAGGGTAGGAGACTCCATTTGCCAAACAACGTAGAACTTTGGGCCTCAGTTTCCTTGTCTTTAAACTAGCAGGTAAAGAATCCATAAAAACAATTAACAAGGGCTGCCTGGAATTCGCCTG